CATCACCATCATCATAATCACTGTCATCGTCATTACCACTATCATAGTCATCGCCACCATCACCATCATAATCACAATCACCATCACTACCATCAGCATCACTGTCAGCTTGAAATCAACTGTGTCAACCACAGAACACCCATCTTGACTTGGTCCCGTACTTCCTCCGGGCACACTAAAGGCGCAGTCACACGTTCTTCCTGCTATCACAAGGCAAGACACTATAGACTGGGGTTCCCAGGCCAGGAATGGACATCTGGATTTAGTTGACCCAAGCTGAATCTGTCTCACATGATTCCATTCAGGAATCCACATAGACAATGCTTCTAATGGAGGGAGAAGACTGCAGCAGACAAAGCAAGGCCATAGGGAGCACAGAAATAAAAGGCCTGGCAAGAGAGCTGACCGCAGGACTCAGGAGAAAGTACGCTCGCACTCCAACACAGTGAGAAGGTGGCCATAACTGCAACTCAGGGGAGAGCCTCGGGAGAAACTGAGTCAGCTGGGAACTTGACCTTGAGTTTCCAGACTTTGAGCTTCCAGACCCAGAACTTTGAGCAATAGATACCATTGCTTAAGTCCCCTGGTCTGTGGTCATTAGTTATGGCTGACCCACAGCCCAGTCACTGGACTTGGCAAGCTGTTATATAAGTAGGTGGCAGGATGGAGCTTGATTAGCAGAGTGTTTGCCTTGCATTCGAGAAGGCCTGAGTTAAGTCCCCAGGAGCACATAACCTAGGCATGTGCACACCTATAGTACCAGCACTCACGATGATCAGAAGTTCAAGGTCTCCCTAGGCTATGTGAGATCTTGTCTGAAACAAACAAGCAAGAAATGTCCCTCAAGTGTCCCACTTCAGCTTTGTGAGCCATTTGGTGTCTAACAGAACTATTCAATTAGCCTGATAGAGTGTCCATGTTGATATAGAGTTATGGACACCCTTAGTGGAAGACCATATTTGTGTTACCAGAAAAACTAAACAAAACTGTATCAAAAAACAAGCCAGAGTTTTCATGACTCTTGGCTTAAAACAATAGTTCATTTTATTCAGAAACTAAGAATACAAAAAGATTGGAAAAGAAAGATTCCCTCTCAGGATGATGTGTATTCTCTCTCAGGATAGTGTCTGTGCATGGCTCTTCCTAGATACTGGCTGCTTCTGGGAGCCCCCACCCCTGCCAGCCCTGCCTATGCACTATCTGGGCTTTCTTACAGCAATGGTAACTTCCCAAGCCCCAGCAGCTTCCCAAGAGTTCGAGGCTGCCACTCACTGCTCATGAGCTAATTTCTGTTGTGCTTGCAAGCCAGTCAGGGTTCAGACAACAGGAAGGAGGTGGCAAGAGGGCTGACCACATACCAAAGAAGAATCCATGTGGGAGATTTTGCTCTGGGAGTGCAGAGTATGGGCACGGCAAATGCAGGTGACACTAGATGGTGGCTACATTCTTTTCTAAAATATTTATTTTTTATTTTGTGTGAGTGCATAGGCATCTGAATGTCTGTGTGTGTTTATGTATGCCATATGTGTGCAGAACCCGTGGCAACCAGAAGAGGGAGTCTGATTCCCTGGAACTGGGATTGCAAGTGGTTGTGAGCCATCCAATACTGGGAACTCAACCTAGGTGTTCTGCAAGAGCAGCAAGTGATCCTAACTTCTGAGCCATTTCTTCATGCCCAAAATATTGTACTTTATAGGTGTTTTCTTGACAATTTGAAATAATTTCCAGTTTTCAGTTCTACCTTAATTAACATCTCCTTCTTGGGATGAGCAGGTAACAGGGATTGAATCCAGGACCTCCTGCATCCCAGACAAACATTCTACCACTACTCAGTCCCTTGGCTCAGTTCTTTCAAGGAGACAAACAGGCTCATGTGGAGATGAAAAGGGAACTTTCTCTACACAGAGAAGCCAGAGCACCCACCTCCACCACCAACTTACAACTGGAAAACATCCTGAGTATGGGGAGAGACCAGAAAACAAATAGTGATGCCTGAGGCTAGAGAGGGTGGGACCTCAACTGTCACTATTTTCCCATTAGCCAAGCTCACACCCAGGAGGGTCAGACAGTCTTCTAGACAAGGAGAGTGTGTGACTCCACTTGAGGTCACTGAGGCAAGGTTTCCAGTCAAACTCAGCACCCAAAGAAGAGTCCATGGAGGACTAAGGCTGCAGCTCAGTGGTAGAGCACTTGCCTAGCACAAATACACAAGACCCTGGCTTCATCCCCAGTGAAAGGCTGCAGCTCCTGCTTGCCAGTGTAGCTTTGCCTCTTCCTTGGCTCTTGCTTAAGTTGCTGGGTGGTACTGTGTTTAAATCACTTTGGCAAAATTCCTCTTAAATGCAATCAATACCTCCAGCCCTACTTTATGGGGCAAATAGTTCCAAACTGCACAAATATGCCTTAAATATCTGCACTCCAGAGACTAAGCAGGCAGGTCACTGCCTGAGCAACTCTGGGAGTGGGAGATGAGAGGGGGAGTGCAGAGAAGGATGGACAGAACGGCAGGAGTGAGTGAAATGCATGCATGATTGGGGGAGCAGTGCCCTCTGTCTGGCTTGAGGCCATCACCACTTCCCAGAGGGAATGTGTTTGCCATGCAGTGCTGTGCAAGCAAAGGCTGCCGAGTCAGCAAAAGGGGGCAGGAAATAAATGGAAGGAGATGCAGTGTATTGCCAGAGTGATGGCATGGTTTATGCCTACAGTGTAGGGGAAGGGAGCAGGTTGAGAGCTAGGCATCCCCATGACCACATCCCAGTGACAGTCCTACTCCCTCATACTTATTAGGTACTGGACATTTGATCCTTGGGTCCTCACAGCACCCCTATTGGAACTGTTGCCAGTCCCACTTAACAGGTTAGGCGACTGAACACAGAGACATGAAGTGGCTACCAAAAGTCACACAGCCTGGAAACTGGGATCAGAATTTGAAGCCGGGCCTTAAAAAGATTAGTCTGTGGCCCATTTGACCACATATTCATAACCGATGATTTTTCATTTACACCTCAATATACTGTTTCCTATCCATTTAGATTAACAAATTAAAATATACAGAAGTAAACCTAAGCCTGAGGATAGCAAGTGCTGTCTGGAAGAATGGCCATTCTGTGCCCCCCCTTCCTGCCCCATGTGTGTGTCAGGCCGTAGCCAACTTCCAATAAAGTCCAAGGTGTGCTGCAACCACCATAGGCATTCAGAGGACCACCTGAAGGGGAACCTTGCATCAGAGACCAGAGTGACAGGAAACCAAGGACTGAGAGCTGGAACTGGAACCTTCCCAAACTCTTTGGGAAGAAGAGAGACTGACACTGGGCTGGTCTTTAAGGAGAGGGTGTTGTGCCTAAAGCAAGGGGTTGAGGTTGAGATTGAAATATGGAGTTCTGGCAGCGCCCCTATGATCCTGAGAACTGCTTTAGCCACTGGCGACTCTCCTAGTAGAAACCCTGGCTGGCTAGCTGCAGGTGCCACTCCCCATACAGCTTTGAGCCTAGGACTTCACCGCCTGGGCGGTGACTCTGGGCTTACTGGGCTGCCTGTCATCACTAGCTCCCATTATCCCCACCCCTGTGCAGCTGTGAAGCCATACGACCCCTCTCCTCAGCCCATTGCACCACCCTCTTCCATTCCCTGTATGAATTCAGGCAGGGCAGGGGATGCAGGCTCTTGTCTTTGGATTGATGATACAGGAAATGCATTTCCAATTAGTCCCAGGATGCTGAAGACCAAGAATCAGACATCATCTTTTGGTGGGGGTGGGTAATGAGTGGAGAGAGACCTAGTAAGCGCGGAGTAGGGACCCCAAAGAGCGGCCGCTTCTAGAGTGGGGGGATACCTGTTAGCCAGGGCGCAGGACGCACAGGATTTGGGTGGCTTTGCTCCAAGACGCAAACCTGTGGCCCAACTTTCTATTAATCTTTGGAGGGGGCTAAACGCTATTCAGCAAAGGCGTGTTTTCCGAGGTGAGCGCCTCCCCAGGGGACCCCCTGTAGCCCTGAAGGAGAAAGGAGGGAGTGTGTGGCACAGGAAGAAACCACCTGTGGTTTGCAGGAGCCTCGCAGTCAA